TTCATCCTTGAGCTCCTCCCCCAAACCCAGAAGAAGCTGAAGGCGAGAATGTTACTTCCTTTCATGACTTTGATACAAGAGAAAAGCATAAATCCTCCCAGTGCACATTTATTGATGAATTGCCTATTGCTTTACCAAAAGAATTTGAGAAGGCTGATAACAAAAGTCTTCCTGTGGTAAGAGTATCAAAAGAGAAACCCTACTGGGATTGTGGAAAGAGGACGCAAAGACACAGGCCATGTATGCCACGGGTCGTGGCTATGACAGAGCCTCAGGCAGCCTGTGTATCCCCGTCTTGGTGGGGAAATCCACCACAAGGGACCACGCAGACCTTTGCCTCTGCTTCATTTTTAATTTTATTTTATTATCCCTGGTGACTCAGCTGGTAAAAGAACCTGCCTGCCAATGCAGGAGACATAAGAGACGCAGGTTCAATCCCTGGGTTGGGAAGATCCCCTGGAGAAGGAAATGGCAACGCACTCCAGTATTCTTGCCTGGAGAATCCCAAGGACAGAGGAGCATAGCAGGCTACAGTCCATGGGGTCACAAAGTTGGACACGACTGAGCACACATACACATGTTTTAAAAGCTGCTTAACACATGGTCTAGCCCCCAGTGTTGGCTCACTGTTAAGAAGGAACTTTATTAAACTTATTTCTTGGCCTCAAAGCATGTGGGATCTTAGTTCCCTGACCACAGACTGAACCTAGGCCCCTTGCATTGGAAGCATGGAGTCTTAATTACTGAACCGCCAGGCAAGTTCCTTACATGTGCTTCAAATCAAGTTACCACTAAATTAAATTGCTAGCAAGTCTCAGAGACCTAAGAAAACACTATTAGAAAGAAAAAATGTGATCATAAAGCTGGTTATGAAATGATAGATACTATAGAAGAATATAAAAAGTCCAAGTCTCCTGATCAGATTTGACAAAGTGGGCCTGGGACAATAAATGTCCAGGTTTATGCTTCGATCATATCCATCTAACTGGTAACTGATTCTCAAAAAAATGTAACTGGTCCCTGAAAGTGGAAAACCTTGTCTCTGCCTTCTTTCCACAGAGCTTGCACATAATTCATGTCTCACGAGCTCCAGGTAGTATGAGTACCACAATGCTTCAAATGCAGATAATACTGTGCTAGAGAAGTATACTTTCTTAGCTTTTTTCCCTTGGACTTGGAGACACTTTCACTGTCATCAATCACTTACTGTGCTAAAGCTCTCTCTGCTTTGATGGGATTCTTTTGCACATCAAATCAAACTGGCTACATAAATGTCATGCTTCCCCACGGAAGGATGGTGTGAAAGCTCAGAACCCGGGACGGAAGCCACGGGGAGCTGTCCCTCCACACCGCGGCTGGACATTTCTAGAAGAGGGAAAGGGAGTCTCCCCACCGCAAGGGGCGGGGGGCCTCAGGTTCCGTCTCCTCTCCCCGGTGCCTGAACTCAAGGATTTGGTCCACGAATTGGAACTCGGGCCGCCAACGGTCACCCTGAGGGAAGGTAGGGAAATGGGGAACTGTAGGAGAGCAAGGCGCAGCCTCAGACCTAAGCAGGAAGTCTTTGCTTTCTGAAGTAGAATGGTGACAGAAAACACCGTGCGGCATGGTGGGGACCATATGTTTTTCAATGTTCACAGTGTTTTTTCCCCCAGGGCCTAGCACAGACTACAAGGAAGGTTCCAGAAGCTTCCTCCACTGGACTGATCTGGGAGTCCTAAGCTACCAGTTTTGGGGTCTTTGAAGATGGAAGTTCTATGCATGCGTGTGTGCTAAGTCGCTTCAGTCGTGTCCAACTCTTTGCGACCCTATGGACTGTAGCCCGCCAGGCTCCTCTGTCCATGGGATTCTCCAGGAAAGAATACTGGAGTGTGTTGCCATGCCTTCCTCCAGGGGATCTTCTCAACCCAGGGATCAAATCTATGTCTCATGTCTCCTGCATTGGTAGGTGGGTTCTTTACCTCTAGCACCACCTGGGAAGCCCACAAGCTCAGTATTTTCATTAAAAAAAAAAAAAGGTATCTGACCTCCCTCTTTCACAGGGTTATTATAAGATTAAACTGAGGTGTCTGTGTGTTTTGAAAGCTCCTTGACAAAATATTAGGTGCTACTCAAACATGAGAATCACTGAGCATGAATCCAGTGGTCAAGTTCCAGGGCAAAGGAATGGATGCTGTGAACGTGGCCTTATCCTTCCTGCAGCACGTCCTGGCCCCTTCTTTCCGGCACCTTCTCTATGAACCCCACCCCCCTCCTGTCAGTGGTTCCGGTGCTCCCCTCCGCCCGGCTCAGGTGTCAGACCTGCTCTCACAGAGTGAAGTCAGTGACACTGAGGAAGCTCTCTCGCCTACTTCGGTGACAACAGGGTAACCCCTCTGAGGTGACTGGTGACAAGGAGCCCCTCACACACTTTACCTTGTTACTAAATTTAAATTAAATAAGCACCAAGTCAAGGCCTTCCTATTCTTGTCCAAGGCACTTCTGCCTGGCAGCTCTGGATCTCACCAGCCTGCCCGCTCCACCAAGGTATGATATCCTATGAGGGTGGATTTCAGGATGGACATCAGGGTGGACTCCAAGGATAGTCTGCTTTATTTTCTAAAAGTCCAAGCCAGTATGTCTTAGAGACTGGAAGACCTATTCATTTAGGTTTCATTCTTCTGGGACTGAGAGACTCTGACTATCTCCACTTCATAGCCTTTTCCTTTCTTACCCAACTGGAAGGTTTCCCAGCACGTTTTGCCTGAGGACACGCCGCACCCAGAGATGCTGGTGGTGAGACTGACTCTCGCCCTTCCAGCAGTCTTTGTGAACCACTGCGTAAAAATAAAGCTAGTTATGAGCTAATCTGGATGAGTCCAACAAGTATTACTGATCTTCATTCTAAGCCTGTATTTTATTTCTCTGAAGGAGCCCAAATTGCAGGAATTACTTGGCAGATTAAATAATAACCGTGTGTTGTGAAACAAGGCTTCCCAGGTGGCACAGAGGTAAAGGACCCGCCTGACAATGCAGGAGACGCAGGAGACTTGGGTTCAATCCCTGGGTGGGGAAGATGCCCTTGAGAAGGGAATGGCAACCTACTCCAGTATTCTTCTGTGGGGTCTCAAAGAGTCCACCATGACTGAACCCACTGTGAGGAAGGGCTGTATTTGACTTTTCTTTTTCTTCACTTATATGGATGACGTCAATTCCTTCTATGTGACCTCTGTATGCGTCCCTTTGTCACGGAGAGAAACAGAAGGGAACAATTCCTTTAATGACCTGGTACCGAGGTCCAAGTGGCTCCACAAGCCAGGGGTAGCCCCAGACAACTGATCTGTTCTCTCATGTGGGACAGAAGGGCTTAATAGCTACGTCTCTAAAACTGAACTCTAACACAAAAAATAATGGTCTGTGCATAGGCCCTCTAAAATCGAATTGTGTGTGTGTATGCTCGTTCGTGTCTGGCTCTTTGCGATCCTATGGACTATAGCCTGCCAGGCTCCTCGGTCCATGGGATTCTCCAGGCAGGAATACTGGAGTGGGTTGCCATTTCCTACCCCAGGGGATCTTCTGCGCTCAGGGATCAAACCTGCGGCTCCTGGCACTGGCAGGCGGATTCTTTACCACTGAACGACGTGGGAAGCCCCAAATTGAATTAGCTCATATTTAATAACTCCAAACCATAAATTAACTACTTAGGAGAAGTTTGTTTGCTTTTAAGAGGTTTTTTTTTTTTTTTTGATGGGGACCATTTTTAAAGTCCTTACTGAATTTGTTACAATACTGCTTCTGTTTTTAAGCTTTGGCTTTTTGGTCATGAGGCAAGTAGTATCTCATCCCCTCAGCCAGGGACAGAACCCGTAGCCCTGGTGTTGGAAGGCAAAGCCTTAATCACTGGACTGCCAGGGAAGTCCCAGGAGAAGTTTTTAAAACTAGTGTTTTCAGACAGATCTGCAGGCAGAGCTAATTCCACTTAAAACCAGCCAGTTCAGGGAAGTTGATATTAGAGTCATCCTTAATATGTCTGGAAACTTTAAAAGTTAAAAACAATTCGGATTAACTTTAGAGTTCTAAAGCAGACAGAAGATTCTTTCCAGCCACAGGATCAGGCTTGGCCTCCAGGCACTGTGGGCGGCACAAGCAGGATGAATCAGTGAGGTCTGAGGGTCCCCAAGAGAGTTGCCCAGGAAGCTTGTGACGGCACAGACACCCTTAGCTCCAGACCAGTGAGGATCTCAGAGGACAGGGCCCAGGCATCTACTTTGCAGTTCCCTTGGTGATTTCTTGTGCAGGCAAAGTGTGAGAACTGCTCCCAGGAAAAGCACTAAGCTTTTCTCTGCCGTTCCCCTTGGCCTCCTGAAATCCACCCCATAAGGAAGAACAGTCTGATATGAATTAAGTTCTCAGTAACTGTCTGGGGAAGGACAGAATGTACTAGGTGAGGATATTATCACTCCCTTTCTCCTTCAGCTGCCAGTAATCTTCAGCCACATTTGAACTCAATTACAGAAATTCTGTAGGACTTCGTGGCTTGCGTCTTGAAGTTCTTTTTTCCCCCTTACTCTCAAACATTTACTCTTATGGTCTTCTCCCTGGTTCTCCTTTTTACCTTTTACTTCTTTGCTGGCATTATTTTATTTTATGGCTTTTTTGTAAGCACTCTCAAATCCTCTGTGAACTAAAATAGGGTATAAATAAATAAACATACTTCCGTACAGATATAAATCAAAGTGGCCATTTGCGTCCCTGCCAGAGTACTCCCACGCTCAGCTCTGGGCACGGAGACTGGCCTGCGTACCTTTGTTCTAGCTTTCAGCCCGGAGTCTTCTCCCAGAGTTCTTTGTAAAAACACCAGCAGGGAATCCCCTGGCGGTGGTTCAGTGGTTAGGACTACGAGCTTTCACTGCTGAGGGTGCAGGTTCCACTCCTGGTTGGGGAACTAAGATCCTGCGAGCCGAAAAGCACAGCCAAAAATAAAAGCATAAAATAAGATTAAAAAAAAGCACCAGCAGCCTTACTTGTGTCCTTGGAGCTCAATGGCTGTTCCTTTTCTCCCACCGATGTTCCACATGATGACAGAGTGATCGGAGCTCCCTGAGAACAACACCTGCTGGACAGGGTCCCAACAGAGGGCAGTCACCCCACCTGAGAGAACAGAGCTGGACATTAGGCACGAAGCGACAGCGCTATTCATCAGTAAGTTGTGAGAGCAAGGGAGTTCAGATCTAGTGCAGCTCCTGGCACACAATGCACTTTTGTTGAAAAGAACAAGTTAAGTCCCCAAAGAGAAAAAAAAAAAATTGGCCCCAAGAATAAAAGCCCCACACTTTGTGCATCTTTCCCCCCAGACTTAATGTACCATAAAATCAAACACTGTAAAGACTAAAGGGAAATGAAAAAGGCAATTAATTGACCTTCAAAAAAAAAAAAAAGACATGGTTCTAAGCATGGAAAATATTGCACTGTCAGGAAATATTAACCAAATTTTTTCAAGCTGCTGTTGTCCACCCCTCAGCCCGCCAACAGGAGATGAGAAGTAAATGGGGTTTTAAGAAATTCAATTAGATTTTTCATTCTTTAATTTAAAAGTGCAATAAAATTTTTTCTTTTCCTTTTTTCAAATTAATTTTTATTGGAATATAGTTTCTTACCATGATATTTTTGTTTAAAAATTCTTGAATATAGATGTTGCTAGACAGAATTTAAAATGTATTTTCTCTACTGGGGAATTTAAATTTATAGGTTCTGGGAAGATTACTTACATCTTCAAGTGACAGTCTCCTATGTAAACTGGGGACAATGGTAATACGATGACCACCACTAACATTGATGCTAATATCCACTTAACCACTACCTGCTGCGCAAGGGTACAGAGGGTGACTGGGCCAGTCACACAGGGCTGCTCTGCACCGTCGTGTGTAGCACAGAAGGCTATTAGCATCGCTCCAGGGGTGTGGCTACAAAATATTATGACAGATCTTCTTCGCCGGCAGTTCCCATCATAAATCAAACTCCTTGTGTACTAAGAACAACAGCAACTTCTTCTGGATAAGATGAGCACAAACCTTATAATATCAGAATATGAGACTCATTTTTTCTACTCATTTTTATTGAAAAACATTATATTCTCAAAAGAACATACAACTGCTTCTTATTTATTGGAATCTGACATTTTCTTCTTTAGATCATCAATCTGTTTAATGAAGCACTGCACGCGAAAAGCTTTTAGGAAAGTTTCTCTCATGTAATGTCTCAGGAGATACTTTTTCAAGATTGAACGGGAAAAAAAAGAAAGAAAAAAAAACCCACTATCTGGATTATGCTTAATAGCTTCTTCCAGTACCTGCACAACATGCCGCTTGTATGTATTCTTGTCCCTGTAAGAACACACACCACTCCTAGCAGCACGCCTGTGCTGACCACCCTCTGCATCTCCCGTCACCTCCTCCCTTCCTGCTCTTACCCACCCCCCCCACCTCCACAGTAAGCAGAGAGCCAGCAGCAGGCAGGTTCTGGTGGAATCTGTTGAAAGAACGAAGGAGCAGATGAATGAAGACACAAAAGTCTCTTTTCGGGACTTCCCTGGTGTCCAGTGGTTAAGCCTCTGCGCTTCCACTGCAGGAAGCATGGGTTTGATCCCTGCTCGGGGGAACTAAGATCCCACAAGCCGTACAGCGCGGGTGAGAAAAGAAAAAGATATCTTTTTTTTTTTTTTAATCCACAAATCTTGTTATTTGGAACTCCTCAGCTGTGCTCACTTAAGCCTTTGAAAGCTGAATATTTTCTCCTGCATAACTCGCCTTCTCCCTCCATTATCAAATGCCATATACCCCTCCTCTTTAACCTTTCTTCAGTATCTGAGAATGTAATACTTCAGGATGTGGATTTCATGGTGCAAAATGTTTATTGCCACACAAATGTACTCAAGTGACTCACTGTGTTAAATATCCATGGCAGAGTCAGCTAACAGTCTGCTGAAAGCCACGTTCCCCCTTCTGTACATACAGCTTTCCCTGGAAATCTGTGGTCCTGCAGGGACCCAGGTACCAGCCCCTCTTGCATCTAGGGGACCAGTGACCAGTTCTCAGCAAGGGAACCCAGAGAGTACATGGAGGTCATACGCATCCATTCCGGGCCTGGGCAGTTTAGATGTCCCTTTTCCTCCTTCTCTTTAAACTTCTCCCGGAGCACTCCAAGACCCCAGGGCACACAGAAATTCTATAAGGAGCCTGGGATCCTGAATCACCACATGGAAAAGAATAGGAATGCTTGAGCTGCACTGTCACATAAGCAAGAAATCTACCTGGCTTATTTAACTTTAATTAAAGACGTCATTGGCCGGGCTGTGTGTGCTCTGTCCCAATAAACGTGGAAATATTTAAATAGGGCTTTCTATGTGCCAAGTGATAGGCAGCATTAGCTCCCGCTAACCAATACACCCCAACATTGACCAGCACCATGCTATGAGAAGCAGGCCCTCGGGCCTTCTTTGCTGGTGACTGTGGGACAAGAATGGTTGATGGTGAAGAAACTGAAGCTCATTTCCAGTATCAGAAGTGCCAAGGCTCTGGAACCAGATTCTAGACTCAAATAACAGCATCTCGGGGACGTTGTTTAATACTCTGAGAAGCTTCATCCATAAAAGAGGGATGATAATACTTTTGTTAAGATTCAATGAGTTATTGGTTCAAGATGGTGGAGTAGAAGGACGTGCGCTCATCTGCTCCTGAGAAAGCTGAGTGAACATACAGAAGCACCTAGAATAAACAGTACCCCGGACACGGGAAACACTCAATCAACATGGGCTATGATGACAGTGCAGGAGACCTCATCTGGGCCATCTCTGTGACAGTGTCCTTCACTGAGTCAGCCCAAAGCGGGGATCACCATGTTCCCATGCTATCTCAGCAGCCATCACAAGATCAACTAAATTTCAGAAATAAGATCAGTCTCTAGTTTTTCCACGTTACATCAGGCTGTAAGGAGTCAGAGCGGGCGAGGGGAGTTCTTGATAATGGAGGCAGGAAGAAAGAACAGATAACCAGGTTAAAGCAAGTTACGGCATATTCATCAGACCCACCCAGGGCTCAGTGTTATACCACAGGCTTTAATATGAGTGGGAAAGAAGGAAGGAAAAACTGCAAGACAGGAAACAGGATGTAACTGGGGAGATAAAATAAAAATCACTCTGTGCTCCCATCCCATCTCTATGTAAACAGCCTTATAATGGGATCTCTTTTGGAGGCTGGCTTATAAGTTGTATCAAAAAATCACAGCATTCACTTCAGATCAATTCAACAGGCATGTGCTGAGCATCTTCTATAAAGCAAGCACTGTGTTAAGCTCCATGGACATAATTAAATTAAATAAGAGACTCTGCTGTGCTGAGTCACTCAGTCATGTCCGACTCTGCAACTCCTTGGAATGTAGCCCTCCAGGCTTCTCTGTCCATGGGGATTCTCCAGGCAAGAATACTGGAGTGGGTTGCCATGTCCTCCTCCAGGGGATCTTCCCAACCCAGGGAGCAAACCCAGGTTTCCTGCACTGCAGGCAGATTCTTTACTGTCTGAGCCACAGGGAAGCCCAAAAGACTCTACGCCAGCATAAATGTACAACGTTAGTTCTGAGGATGAAACATGCATACACAGGGTGTTTGGTGGAGCCATCCTCTCACAAGACCTGGTTACTCCCTCTGCCTGGAGTGAAGAGGTCCTACCTTTTACCACCCTCTTCAAGGAGCAGCTCAGATGCCCTCTCCTGCAGGAAGCCTTCCCCTCAACACCCCTATCTAGTGAGACACATCACATGCTCTGTTACTGTCATCATCCACTGGATCAAACTTTGCTGGATTACAAATCTATCCCCACTGCAGACTTCGTTCCTATATCTTTGTCTTCGAGCACAGTGTGTGGCTCAGTGGCTAAAAAATCCACCTGCAACTCAGGAGACATAGGAGACCTGGGTTTGATCCCAGGGTTGGGAAGATCCCCTGGAGGAGGAAATGGCAATCCGCTCCAGTATTCTTGCCTGGGAAATCCCATGGACAGAGGAGCCTGGCAGGCTGCAGACCAAAGGGTCACAAAGAGTCGGGCACGACTGAGCGACCAAGTGTAGCACACAGGGTCAGCGAATGTTTCCTCACTTGGCCCATTAACAGAATGGCAGACAAGCCTGGGAGGACAGTACATGAGAGCAATGAACTCTCAGGACAGAAGCTTCAGGGGTGGGAGCTTCCTTCTGAGGAGACCACTGCCTCTCTCGGCAGACAGACCTCTCTCGGCAGACAGACCTCCGGCTGAGCAGCAGGGCTTCCCACCCGACACCTCTGGCGGCAGGGACAGTGACCCACCCTCAGCGAGCCCACCTTCCACAGCAGTGCAGACACGCACACCTCCCACTCCATCCACACCCAGACCATTCTCCTTGCCCTTCATGACCCATAACTCAAGATGGAGAATGAGACCCGGAGCTGCAGTGGCTGTGGGTTTCTGGAGTTTCTGATATTTTTCTGATATTTTAATTGAAAAAAATCATTTGTTCCATTTGATTCACTCCAGATTTCTGTTTCCCCTCAGTGTTTCATTATATGAAACACCTTGGCTCTCCACAATGTGACTGATGGATAACTGAACATACACGAATTCACTCTTAAAAGTCAAGGTTTTGTCTATACTAGTATATACTCTCATAAATGGAATTTTTTTTTTTTTATGGCAAAACAAGCATCTTTTTATTTATTTGGCTGTGCCAGGTCTTAGTTGTGGCATGTGAGATCTAGTTCCCTGACCAGGGATCGAACCCAGGTTCCCTGCATTGGGAGCTCAGAGTCAGACCCTGGACTACCAGGGCATTCCCATAAGTCTGCCTAATATTCCAGCATGTGTATGTACCTTATTTCACTCACTGTTTGATTTTTCAACTTTTCACTATCATAAATTTTGTTAAGATGAACACTTTTTATACATAAAACTTTATTCACCATTCTGATTTAGTGAGAAGAGATTCCCAACTGTGGAACCAGATCAGAGTACAAACACTTAGAAATTAAGTACATGGTACCAAATGCTTAGGGAACTAATTTTTGGAGGCTGACAACATATCTTTCAAAAGCTAAAGACGAGGTGGACAGTCACAAGTCAGGGCCC